ACAGTCGGGGTCACTGTGTTTCTGCTGGTTTCGCCTCCTTGGTGGGGTGAACATGGTGTTCATCCCGGTCGTCGTGGCGCCGAGCCACCCCCCCTACCCGCGGGAATGGCGGCAGAGGTTGGCCGGGGTTGCGTAGGGCGTTCTCCACTGCTACGGTGTAAAATGTGAGATGCGATTCGCACTCCTGGTCCAGGTGCACCAGGTATTCCTGTACGTGTGGCGCAATGTAGATTCTGCCCCGGGGGAGCCGCAATAGCACCTGATACGGCCGTATTCCATGGGCGTAAAATGTAGAGCGGTATCTTTTGACCAACCGGCCCCACCCGTTGTCCCCGTTGCGGCCCCGAGGGAAGTATATGTACACGCTTCTGTCTATCCCGAATACGTCGCAGAACAGAGTGACCAGGAGGCAGGAAGCCGTCTCACTACTCCCGTGGGCCCGCACCACACTCTCGAAGGAGTCGAAATGCCCCGCCGGGTCCGCGCCGGATTCGGACATAGACCATGTCTCGAAATGTCCCTCTATCTCGGATGCGAAAGACACTGCCTCCCTCAGGAAGTCCCACCGTCCCCCGGCGTGCGGCAGTTCGTAGTTCTAGACAAGTTCCGCGGAATGAGGAGGTCGTCGTGCGTTCGATCCTTCCTGCGAGCAGTTGGCACATGGTCGTGGATCCATGCGTCCGTGTGCTATCTGGTCGGCTCTGTCCCACAGGCAATTAGCGTGCACCGACCTACTTAGTCGCGCGACTAAGTAGTCTAGTGGGTAGACCGCTTTCTTTACAGGGCTCCCCACTTTTTGTGGACTACCTGGTATAGAGCTAATGTGAGAAACAACACAAACAACAACAACAGCACTACAAGCAGTACTACTGTAGTTCTGCAAGCAAGGTGGTCGGTGCACATCCTGATGAAGTTGATATATTGCGAGATGTGTGGCCTGGACGCTAGGGGCGAGAGGAGAAAATAACATGTGCCTATCGGGTTCATGTATGCTACATGTAGTCTATGCTGAACTCTACTGCTGTGGTCCTCAGTCTGTCTGGGAGACTACTGTTGTTGTTGTTGTCTTCACATTATGGTCCTCATCAGTCATTCTGGGAGACAAAAATAGAAAACATCAATTCTGAACCAACCGTGAACGTGCTTTCCTTCCCGTCGGGAGTGCGGTGGCTTGCGACCAGTGGGGGTACAACTGGGGGTAATAATGAGGGAGGAGTGGCTTGGTTGTTAGCGCACGGGGGGGATATACGAATGAGACATACAGTAACGGCTGCGTTTGTATGCCGTACAAACAGTAGGTCCACAAAAAAACGTGCAGGAAAGATGCACGCCCTGACAAGAGATTCGCCACCGTGTGCCGACAACTGCTGTGTGTGGTCCTCAGTCAGTCTGGGCGACCAAAAATATGTTGTGCAAACTCACAACAGCAATAAGAAGTCCTGCAAGGTGGATGGTACACGTTGTGATGAGGTTGATTTCTTGCGAGATGTGTGGCCTGTATGGTAGGGGCAAGGCACTGCCTATTGCTTGCCTTGCGCAGTGGTGATCGGTGAAAGTTTGAGGCATGTTTCACTTATTGTTAACAGGGCTGTGTCCGAAGTCGTCGACGTCGCGCATGATTCTGTACCAACCGTGAACGTGCATCCTTCCCGTCGTGGGTGCGGCTGTACTTGCGACCAGTGGGGGTAAAACTGGGGGTAATGATGAAGGAGGGGTGGTTCGGTTGTTCGCGCACGGGGGAGATCTACGAATGAGACATACAACAACGGACGCGTTCTCACAAGCTGACACAAGCGATAGCACGAAACTCGCAGGAGGGGCAGAACGGGCCAGGAGGGACACCTCTCCCAGCCCACACTAAAATCTATCGATGGAAGTTCGAGAAACGTCGACCGAAGAAAAAAACTTGCTTTAGGAGAGACCGGAGATTGCCTGGTCTAAAATCAAGTGAAATGCAGAGAGAGGGGTAACTTTTTGGTGGGGTCGGAAAAAGTGGGGTCGTTTTCGAATATAGGTTCTGAGAATTTCGGCGACAGAAACTGAATCCCTATGGGGCTTCAGAATCGGGCTTCAGAATACATGAGAACAGCGGCAATGCAAACGGCGAGGGCGACCGCCGGATTAATCACACAAGGGACGTGGTGACCGATTTCCCTCCGCACCCCGTTAGAGAGAAAATACCGGAGTAAGACTCACCAAACCCTGACCCCTCCCATCCGCCCTCGGTTATAAATACTCCGGCCTAGTCAGGCGGGCGCAAGGACTGCGACCACTGGCACGACGGGGCTGGTTTCGTCACGTCCCACATCGCCCTCTCTCTCATGTACGAGCAAGCCTTGCAGTCGGTCAGCCCGTCGATCGCGCTCCCTTACTGGGACTTCACCATCGAGGGCATGCTATTCGACTGGAGAGACTTCCGAACGAGCAGCGTCTTCTCAGACGATTGGTTTGGCGAGGCGTCTCCTCACAACGAGAGGGGGGAAAAGACCATTGTTGTGAAGATTTGACGAATTGACGCTAGCGTATAGGGCCGCAGGCCGGACACATTTTCCTTTCCCGAACCACGTTAAATATCTTTCGCAAACATCACGCCGTTCACCCCAGCTCAATGCAAATTCTGTTCCGAGTAGTCCCCGAGGTCGCCTCGTTTACCTCTCTCCGCACAATAAATACGCCTTCTCTTGTCTTCTTCCCCTCGTCATTCTTCTTTTGCCCTCGTAGAGCACGACGTGGGGAAACTAGCCCCCCCGCCCGCTCTCAACCAGCCTTCTTCTTCTACTACAACCCGCCTCCATGTTCAGTTGCTCCGACTGAAAGTTTGCAATTTTCAACTATGTTTTGAGGCAATCCCTACGTCCCCCCTTCCTCGTAAACGGCACATGATTTAGTCGTTGATGACGCCTAGCAGGGGGCGTTTCGGCTTCGTTCCCGTCATGGCGAACGCCACCGAGTATTCGACGTTGCACAACCCGTACGGGCTGCTGCGGTCCCCGTGGAACACCCACCCGGAACCCTTCCTGCGCGTCACGACTGCCTGTTCGGGTACACAAACAACCGCAAGTAGTCCGGGTGCAAGCAGTACCGAGACGCGGCGAGGAAGGATACTTGGTGAGAGTCCTCCGCGTTGCGGCCGTCGGTGCGGTATTCGCAGCAATACAAAAGCAAAGTATGAACAAAGAACCGGCTCGCAGTTTAGAAAGATTTCGATCAGGAACAGAGGCTCGAACTTTCGCGAACAAGAAGAACTAGGGTTATTTGAGAACCCAGGTCAGTGGTGCACCCTAGACTAACGTCGATGTAACTCTATCCTTGACTGTGGCGATGAAAAGAAAGTGAGCCTCGACTGGATTTTGACGTTTCTCCTCTGCGGGCCCGATCTGTAGTACACGCCTACCTTCTCCCGATCCTTCCCCTGGCTTTTCGGCGTGAGAAATTAGTTTTCTGCACGTGGAAGTATCCACCGTCGGCGGATCATCGCCTGTTGACGGGGGCGTTGTGTCGAGATCCCTCGGTGTGAGCCTCTTCGACATCACGGAGGTGGTTGTTGTTGTTGTTGTTGTTGTTGTTGTTGTTGTTGTTGTTGTTGTTGTTGTTGTTGTTGCTGTGTTGCGGTGGTGCTGCCCTTTCGTCCGTGACGATTCGGCCCAGAGACCGGCTCAGACGAATTGGCCACAATCATAGCGGAACAGCATTTTGCCGACAACAGTTTGGGGTTGTTTAAGCAAACTACGGTGGTAGCATTTCGTGCTTGTTGCATTCCGCTGTGTGTGCAGCATGAGGTAAAACGTTTCCCCCTCGCTCCCCCTCGCTACCCCTCCTCATCGCTTGCTACGTATCATCGACCCGAGCTAACGGGAGCGTCAAACCAACTATCAAAGCGCTGCTTTCTGAAGCGCTCCCCTTGTGTCAAGGTCCTATGGCATAAAAATCCGCCGCCTGCCACTTCCGTGTCCCCTCAATGCGTTTTTTCCGTCCCTGTCTTCACCAAAACAAGCCACTGATGAAGTATCTTTGGAGAACGGAGTACCTGCAGTGCGAGACGACGTGCGACTTCAGCGTCTCGTGGACAGACTGCAGGTGCACCCTCAGCGCCGAAGCGGTAGCAGGGCAAACACCATCAGAGGTAAGCTCTCGGGTCTCCCTGAGTGCGTCAACAATGCTCTTGGCTTACGGGCAGGAAGGTCGAGCCCGGAGAGCACGGCATTCGCGATTTTTTCAGGCTCGGTGCTCTGCTCGTCTTGCGAACACAAGTCTTCCGTTCCGCCTCCTCTAGCGCGCTTACACGGTTGTTCGAGTCCGAGCCTGTTTGTGTACCCCCGTGACCACCCACGGAGGTTGCCGTGTCCACCCACGGTATGATGTCTGTCTGGGGACTATGTTAACCCAGAGGACCGATGCAGGTGATATATATCCTTTATTAACACACACGTGCCCTTCCAGCACGGACCGAAGTCAGTACAGGTCCTGTTTCAGTGAACACAAGCGCGGGCTCTCACGAGGGGGCCCGCACTTGGACCCCCAACAGTATACCCCCCGCATACATGTTCTCTGCAGATCGGATCTTGTATCCAAGCACCCCAAACAGCCCCCCTGCTTGATACAATATACGATCTGGAAGTCCAAGGTGGATAATCTTCCAACCAATACAAAAACAAAGATAACCACTCGAGAAACATCCTCTACAAAACTGGTTACGCATTTAACGCCAAGCATCTCCATCAGTTTATCCATGAATCCAATGTATTCTCAAACCGTCAAAACACAAGAATCATCCTCAGAAGAGTTCCCAACAAATATCTGCGCTACACCAGAAAAGCGTCAGAACGGTGATGGACAAATCTGGAAAAACAACTTCAAAAGATTTGACACAACATTTTCAAATAACACAAAGTTCCAACTTCTTGACCAATTAAAACAAGCATTCGGAAAGCACAAAGGTCCCAACCATTACTTGTCAAACTATGTCAAGCCCTTCCTCCAATATAGCATCCAAGGACCAAATCCTTGAACAGCGTGCACATACTATCGGTGCCTCAGCTGTTGTCCGAGAGGCGATAGAAAGCACAGGCCAATATCCATGCAAACAGCCCCCTTGCTGCAACATCTCCCGAAACATGCAAATTTTGTGCCACCTTGCTCTCAATACCAATATCAATACGTAACAGCCCCCCAGCTGGAACATTTTCCCTACACATGCATACAGATCTGCCTGCGTTTTTTTCCCCTCGTATTCAACCATCAGAAGATCTTAAAACGTGTATGAAACAGCCCCCCAGCTGAAACACGCCCTGCAAACACAAGAAAAACATATACGCATTCGCTAGTGTTGCGTCTGGAATCATGACAACACATGTCCCCCCCCCCTGATTTTCGACGCAAAACACAGCATAGGAAACGCGTCCATAAAGAAAAAAAAATACTTACTGAATATTACATCACAATTTCACGGTGGAAGCAAAACGCGCTCTAGTGCAACGGTTTCGTGCGAAAGTACGCATGCTGAAAAGTCGTGGGCACGTGCACAATTTTAATCTCTCCCCGTGCTACACGCCCCCCCTAACCCCCCCCCGGTGTTTGCCATCGGGGTTGGGTTTTCGTCGCTTGGCAACGACGTTGTAAAACAAGCCGCCCCCCCCGGTGTTTGCCATCGGGATTGGGTTTTCGTCGCTTGGCAA